AAAATGCATAGCTCAGGCTGGCCTCGAACTCCTGATTTGCCTGCCTCTGCCTCCTTCAACAAAGCCTACTGGTGTGCGCCATCACAACTGGCAATAAATTGCAAGTTTTAAAGATTACACAAAGCTTAAAATTTAAGTAAGGTTTAAAGGATATATAAAAATGTGAGCTGGTTTATTTATTGTTCTTTCTTGAATTTCATTTTACTCTCTGAAGTATTCATAGAAGTATACAGTGTATTTAATCCTAGCCCCCTACTGCCTCCTCCACCTCTGTCTGACCTCCCCAATATCTGTTTCCCCTTAAGCCCTCTTTTTTAAAAACAATAATCCACTGTATCCAATTAGTGCTGTCCTTGTGTGCTTGACTTTGGGTTATCCATTGGTGTGTGAGGAATCTGCCAATGGCCACCCCTCAAAGAAAAGTGAGTTTTTCTCCTGTGTCAGCCATCAACTACTAGTAGGTCCTTGGGCGGGGTGGGGCCCTTAAGAGCCCCTCCCTACTCCATCCTGAAAATTTTAACTGAACTGATCTTGTCAAGTCCTGCACAGGCTCTGTGACAGTCATGTCCTGTTCAGAGGGCAGCATTCCTCCGCATCCCCTGGCTTTGACATTCTTTCTTCCCCTTTTCCACCTTATTCCCCGAGCCTTGGGGTGAAGAATGGCCCAGACGGCCCATCTACAGCTGAGTGCTCGTAGTCACTGTCAGAACTTGCAAACAGTTAAGAGTCTCTTCATTAACTGCCTACTGAGAGTAGTACAGCCTGGGTTTTAAGGCCATGTGGGGCAACTGGAGGGTCCCTATTGCAGACAGCACTAAAATCTGTGGAGTCCTAAACGTAAGGAAGATCTCTGTTCCAGCAGAGGATTCTGATTTGTGAGTCTACTCCTAAATAAATAACCGTCAATTTCTTAGTTTTGAGCTAGTGTGGGATTTCTTTTAAGCGTCCTTCCACATAACTGAGACCTTTTTCACATAATTTTTTTTTTTGAGACAGGGTTTCTCTGTAGCTTTGGTACCTGTCCCAGAACTAGCTCTTGTAGACCAGGCTGGCCTCAAACTCCCAGAGATCCGCCTGCCTCTGCCTCCCGAGTGCTGGGATTAAAGGCGTGCGCCACCACCACCCGGCTTTTCACATAAATTTTTAATCTTTTACTCAGTTTATGTGGTAAAAGATTCATTCTAAGATAATATCTTCTCTCTACATTAAAATTCCTGTAGTGGAATGTTAGGAGGGTAACATGACCAAAATGCAGTTAAGACTCAGATCTACATAATCCACATGTGCCTTCTGTAATTTCTCTTCGACCAAAGCCAATTCCCTATTCCAGCTGACAATCCCCTGGGACTGTTTAAGTCCTTGTCACCAGCTAAGGTTTTGTTTAAATTAGTCAGGTCATCAGGTTTTATCCCAATAGTGTGCCATAGAAGGTAAATGTCCCCTAGCGATCTTTGGAAGCCATTAAGAGTCTGCCATCAGTCTCTCCTAATTTGCACCTTTGGGGATCTAATTTTTTGTAAGCCTATTTCGTAACCTAAATAATTAACATAATCTTCTCTTTGTATTTTTTCAAGAGCTATTTGTAATCCCCAACAAGGCAAAATTTTCTTTAATTCTTTAAACATTCTTTCTAAAGTATCCACATTTGAATTGGATAATAAATATCATCCATGTAATGGTAAACTATAAATTCAGGAAATTACTTACATATCATTTCCAATGACTGACTTACAGAATACTGGGACAGGGTAGTGCTACTTAACATTCCTGTGAGTGAATCTTCCACTGATATCTCTTAGCAGGCTAAGATTATAAGTAGGCATTGTGAAGGCAATTTTTTTCTGTTTTTTTCTTGTAAAGGTATAGAGTAAGGAAACAATCTTTTAAATCGAGAACTATAAGAGTTCTCTATTACCATCCTTTAGGTCATAGAGAAGGCAAAGGAATGCCAAACTGCAGAAAGCCTATTGGCTGAATCACCTTATTAACAGATATTAGATCTGTTACCAATCTCCATTTTCCAATTTTTTTTTAAATAACAAGTTCAGGAGAATTTCAAGGGCTGGTTGATTCTTCAATATGCTGAGCATGTAGTTGCTCCTGTACCAGCTCTTCTAAAGCCTGCAGTTCCTCTGTTGTTAAAGGCCATTGTGCAAACCATACAGGTTTGTCTGTCAACCATTTTAAAGGTAGGGCTGTTGGTGCCTTTGGAAGTCCAGCAGCTATTATGCCCTGTTCTTGTACAATCTGAATTGTCAGTGACTATTCTCTTTAATACCTCTAATATTTTCCCCAGAAACATACGTTAATTTTTGTTTTGTTTCTAAGATTGGAGAATGTTAATCTGAGTATGCCACTGCTGTAACAAATCACGTCCCCACAAATCATTGCTATGTTAGCCACATGTGGTTTTAATGTTCCTCTCTGTCCTTCTGGTCCCATTCAGCTCATTTCATGCTCTACTTTACTTGAGATAAATTTCTGATCCCTAAGCACTGAACATTTACGTCCTGAAGAGGCCAACTGGGATGCCAAGATTCTGATGAAATTATTGTCTTTATCCCAGCCCTTAGAAAATATGACATCATCCCAGTTTTCAATGATATGGACTCTGTAGTTTCTGTTTGTGCTTGTTTATCAACTCAGATATTTCAGCTCCAGCAAAATTACTAATCTCAAAGATGTTATGTCCTACTAGCCACATTCTGTGCTGTAGTCCCCAAAGCCTTCTTTTTATTTTTCCATATTTTAGAAGAAGACAATGACAGTAGCTATGGTGCAGCGCACTTATAGGACATTTATAACTTTTAATAGCATGCCTTTACCAAAGTTTCAATCTCTAGCTAACAAAATTTATTCTTTTATTCTTTTGTATTAAGGCTGGAAGTTGCCAAGGTATATATGTGATATACTTACAAGCAACTTATATATTTGACAAATATTTGAATAAGTTTTCAGTTGAGATACATCTGGAAATACATCTGGATGACAAACAAGGCCATAGGAAAGTTTGGGGATGTCTGTATTTGGCACAGAAGATGATGAAGGAGGCTTTGAGAAAATAACTGTCAAGAGGAAAGGGAACTGAAGAAGAGTAACTCAGAAGAGTGAGACCGTTTTTTCAAAACTTTTTATTCTTTCATTCCTACATTATGCAATACATCGTGATCAGAAACAGCCTCACCTTTTATCCCCTACCCCGGCCCCCTAAAAACTCTCCTGCAACCCCCTGGTGTCTTTAAAAAACAAACAATGAAACCACTGAGTTCAATTAGGGATGCCTGTATGTGCATGGGTGAGAGACTGTGTTTATCGAATCATGGACAACTTACTAATGGTGATATCCCTGAAAAATACTGACTCCCTTCCCCAATAGGCATTAACTGCAAGCAGCTATTTAGCTAGGAGTGAGGCCTCACATGCTCCTCCATCCATCCTGGATATTGACAAGCTTGAGTGATGTTATGCAAGTTACCATAGCTGTGGGTTAATTCATGCATGCAACAGCCATGTCATGTCCAGAAAGCAGCTTTTCAAGGTGCTTCTTCACATCCAATGTTTAAAGTTCTTCCTGCCTCCTCTTCTGTGCTGTTCTCTAAGCCAAGGTGGTTGGGAGTGAGACTAGTGTCCTTTTCAAGGCTGAGCACTTGATGGTTTGTTATTCTCAGTCCTTTGACTAGTTACGAATTTCTGCATTCACCTTTGCTCATGGCAAAAAGAAACAACAGTGGTATACTCATATTTACAAGGCAATGTGGAATCATGTCTGTTATTCTTTCCATCCCTGCCCTAGCCACGCCCACTCCTTTTAACTTCTGACCTCCGCCCGCCATCGCTCTCTTTTTGCTTTTCTCTCCCGGTGTACACACGGGGCTTTGCCTCTCTCCTCCTCCTTCTCTCTCTCTCTCTCTCTCTCTCTCTCTTTCTCTCTCCCCCTTTCTCTCTTTTTCTCCTTTTTAATAAACATTTATGGCTTTAGAAAACCAATGCATTTAAAAATCAGCTTACAAAATAGTGGTTTCCATCAGGCTTCCCATACATCTTAGTGTGGTTAGCTGTCTCCTGACCCCTTCCTAACATCCCCAAGCCCATACCCCTTTCCACATAGTTTTTCTGCCTTCGTTACTTCTCCTCCAGACAATCTCCACTCCTGCACTTTAATCCCCTCCCTCCTCGGCCTTCCTTCTCCGATATTTCATGTGTGATGCAGGATAGGACCTTTTTTTCCCCCTCAACTTTTCCTCATTATACTTGGAATAAGGGAAATGGTCATTCTTTTTTAAAATAAGGATTATCATTGTGTATGATGTGTGCATATGACTTCCATAGCACATGTGGAGGTCAGAGGACAACTTTGTTTCTTTCCTTTTGCCTTCATATAGATTCCAGGAAGAGCCTTTCCTGGGAAACCATCTCATGGACCCAAAGTGATTACTCTCCGAGAGACACCCGAGTGATACAAACTTCTTTGGTTTCAGAAGAATATTCAAATGTCTTTGCATAAATCGACACACCATATTATATAGGCAACATGTTCCTTGCCTATTGGTTCATATCACCTTTGTCTCAGTCAATCCACACATGGTGCTGAAACCCCATTGGTCTTCACTCCCATTTGGTGCCAATTCCTAATCGTTTGCTTTTGGGGGAGACAATGGAGACACAGCTTGACTCACTCAGCAGGCTGGCCTGGAATTCTATTCGTAAACCAAATAGGTTTCAAACTCAGAGATCTGCCTGCCTGTCTCCCACGTGTTGGGATTAAAGTCAAGTGTCACATAGCTGAATAATTCCTAAATTACCGTTTGCCATCCCAGTCAATCTCTCAGAGTCAGTGTGCTGCAGCTGGGTTGCGTTTTAAACCATTTCCATCCTTCAATGAGGTTGAAGGAGCTCAGCTCAGCTCCACCCTCTCCACATTTCCCCATTCCACTCCCTTTGTATTCACTGCAGTTCTCTGGGAATGACCAGTCTGGACCCACCCAAGAGAAGGTGGGGCCATGCCTACTAGATCATTTTATAACTTCTGTAAGGAGAATCTTAAAACTGAAAGCTCTAAGGCTAAATGTATGTATGTATGTATGCAAAGAGATAAAAGTCACTTCTTATCCTGGCTCTGTCCCTCCCCAAAACACCTTGTATAAACCGGTGTTATGAAGTTTATTATATTGCATTTATATTAAAGATAGTCACACAAAATATTGCTTCAAGGGACATTTAGTACCCCCTGTATACTATTCTGGGACCTGGAGATACAACTGAGATAAAAAGAGACAAAAACCTCAGGATTTCTTATAATAAAGTGTGATAAGGCAATAAGATAGTTATGTTAGGTGGCAAAATAGATATAGTAAATACACAACTTTAAATAAGCAGCTGAGAGATGCCTCACTGAGCTACTATTTGAGCCTCGAGATTGTGTGATCATTAGGATGAGATTTCAAATATAGTGGGCTAGCTGAGTGCTTGGTGTATAACAAGATTCCATAAATTCATAGGAACATTCTTACGAAGAATGTCTAAAATCATTAGGAGTTGGCTAGGTTTCTGCACCCTCCACTGCCGGCCGGCCTTCTAGGGTGAAGGAACACTTGATGAGTGCTCTCTGTCTCTTGTTGTCAGAGCCTGAGCTCTTAGAACTCTGTCTGCTATCCCAGCTGAAGCGCCACTTCCCAACTCTTCACTGTCTCTTACACTCACATCCTGAGCGATACCAGCAAAGGATGCCTTGTGAAGTCAGGTTGTAGTCCGACCCTTGCTAAATTGCTGTTGTCTTTGACTAGCCCTGTCTCTAGTTCTCATTTTTTCAACACAAAGTTAAAAAGCCATATTAAACCAAATTTCAGGCTCTACTCCGGCTTGGTTCTCACACAGAACCCAATACTGGCAGCTGGTGCCCCTAGTCCAAAATCTCCTCAAAAGCCTGGCCCATAGTCTGTAGCACGAACAGCAGTAGGTAAGAAATTAGGCTAAACCGGAACTCCCAAACTACACAGCAAACACCCGGTGTTTGCAGAATACCCATCCACTCTCCATCGCCCGGCCTTCTTGGATCTTCTCCCGGGTCACACCCCAACACATAATCATCCCCCATGCCTCTCCTCCTTAGAACCCCTTGGTTCTGTCTTTGTGGAAGTGGAAAGTTTTAGGGCATCGATTGTTGTCTGTCATTGTGACGCATTAGGTTACAAACAAGGCGTGCCTGGTCACCAGGGTAATTGTCCGTTTGCAGTTCGATAGGCAGAAGCCTCAGTCCTGTCTTCAGTCCCACGGAGAGTGGTCGTGTTTCAGGGGTGCGGAGGCGGAGGCACTGAGTTTGGGATTCCCGAGCTGACGTGGCTTAGACCGAGCGGGGTCGGGGGGGGGGCGTCGGGGGGGAGGCCGGCGTTGCCGGTGGCGCCCACCTGCAGGTGAATGTGGTCCGCAGGCTTGTAGGGGAGCCCCGCATCGGGCCCCGCCGCGCATCGCTGGCCCGGGGACACCTGCGCTCAGCCGGCCGCCCCGCCCCTCGGGGCTCCGCCACTGTCACCTACCCAGCCTAGGTGGCTGCCTTACACAGCCAGGGAGCATAGACACCCGGGCGGCCGGCAGGGTCGTTTCTCCCCGGGGGATCCCCGGAGGCGGGCGAGCCGGCCAGTCCAGCGTGTACGGCCCTGTATCCGAGCGGCCGGTGGCAGCCAGCCTGGGCACGCAGTCGAGTACGTGGGGAGGGAGCCTGTCCCAGCCCTGAGCTCGGACCCTGAACAAACTTTGTGCCCCACGGGGGGGGGGGGGGGGACTCAGACTAGGCAAAGGGCGACGCTGTTGCCGCAGTCGGAGGCCCACGCGTGATCCTGCTGGTGCTAATGGGCTGGGAAGATGAGGAGGGAGAGTTGATCCAGGAATCAGAGGTGTTCGCAGGAAAGAAATCTGGAAGGTAGTTCTGGAGGAAAAAACCTGGAGTTGGCTGTGTGGGGGTGTGTTTGTCGCTGCGTCGCAGGAATGCAAACAGGAGGGTGAGCCCTTGGGGACCAGAGGAAGTATTTTCCAGGTTTATTCAAAGCGCTGCAGTTGCTCTGTGGAGAGAGGACCGTTTTGAGGGTGGGATAGATATTTAGAATCATGGATAATAGTAAGACGTTCACTTTCGGAGATAGTTGGAATTTCTCCAAGCACACAAAGGACGACCTTCCAGATTTGAGCACGGTGACAGCGGAAGAGTTTCTAACAGTGTAGAGTCCTTCCCAGAACAGAGTTAATAAGGTTTGGATAGTTGGAATGGCTGTAAAGGGTCACGTTCCGGAAATGTTCTGTTAGAAAAAGTGAGACGGTTTGGAATAGGTAGGGGGAAAAATGCAAAATATCTCAAAAGTTTCGGGGGCTGAAAGTATACCCAAATGGTAGAACTCTTGCCTCCAAGAGGCCCCGGCTTGAAGCAATGTGTATTCATAACACTGCTTTTACTTCCTTGATCCTGGAAAGACCTTTTGATGCTTCCTTCTTAGCTCCAGTTACATTTGACTACGCTGTTCCTGAAAGATTTTAATTGCATATGCTATAGGTAAAACACTTTGAGCCTATTTCTCCTAAGTATATTTATATTATGTTTATTGAGTATATCTTATGTTTATTTTAGATAGTGTGAATACCTCTGTAAATATGCCACATATGTTTATAAAAATATAAAATGAAAATTAAAAAATATGGCTCAACTCAACAGAATTTGAAGATCACATAGAAGAGGCTTCCTTGGTTTCTCAAGATGATTGTCCGCATTTCTGAGGATTCCCATGTTGTAATATGAGCGGTGGGGCTGCGTCCCCAGCACCCCGGCTGCCTGGCTAGCTTATGCCCTGAAATAACAACACACAAACTGTATTCATTTAAACACTGCTTGGCCCATTTCTATCTAGCCTCTTCTAGGCTAATTCTCACATATTAATTTAGCCCATTTCTAATCATCTGTGTAGCACCGCTAGGTGCGCTTACCGGGAAGATTCTAGCCTATGTCCATCCTGGGTCGGAGCTTCATCGCGTGCGTCTGCCTGGGAGCTGGGAGCATGGCATCTCTCTGAGGCGTCTGCTCCCTAGAGGAGAGCTGTGGAGTCTGAGCTCACTTCCTCTTCCTCCCAGCGTTCTGTTCTGTTTACTCCTCCCACCTATGTTTTAACCTATCAGGGCCAAGCAGTTTCTTTATTGCTTAACCAATGAAATCAACAGATTGATATATGACACTCCCACATCATTCCCACGCTTTTGGGGTGTGGACTTTTTATTCTACTGTAATATGGCCAGCCCTTCCTAAAAATAATGATCTTTAGAAGGTTTCCTTTTTAACTTTCTCACTGACTTTTAAAGTTCACCTCTCTTTCCCTGCCACCCCCCACCCATTTGGATTAAAGAGATGTTGATACTACCCTTGTTTATAAAATATCATTAACTTTTCTTGGTTACCTATGAGGAATAAGTTATCTGTGAGACTTCTGATTATTACATACCATCTGTTATTAACAACCCTGTGGAAGGCAGACTGGGCTGCCTAGGACCCTCTCCCCCTTTAAGGGCTGGGTACAAACCCAGAGTCCAATGCTTGCTAGGCAACCCCTCTGTTGCTAAGGTACACCTCCCCTCCCCTCATAATAGTCCTTCACAGTTTAATTGTTTTAGGATCAGCTATATGTGCTTTTGATCAAAGGAAATTCAGTACCAAAGGGTGTAATAAAGTAAAGCCCAGTTCTACCTTCTTACCCCTGTCACCTTTCCCCACTCCAGAAATCAGCAAGGCAAATAGTTTGCTCCTAAGAGACATTTTGACTGCTAAAGCACATATGTAATATATACTTCGTCTCAAGTGAGCCATAATACATCTTTTTGCCACTTAATATTATACAGCATCTCTGATCTTAATGTGTGAAATATGAAGGGCTCAAAACTAAAGCTTGGTGAGTATTCCTATGCTGACTGTATGAAATTCATCACGGTGAAACTTCACCTCATGCACAAATGATTAAAACTACTGTATAAAACTGCCTTCAGTCTCTGTGTGTTAAATATATACGGACTATAAATGACTTTGTGTTTAAACTTGGGTCCTGCTCCCAACATGGCTCTTTATATGTGTACAAATATTCCGGAGTCCAAAATATTTCAAAATCTGGACGAAGAATCTTGATACAGCAATTCAATCTATATAAAAACCATTTTCAGTAAACACGAGCTTTGAACGCACCACCCTACTCTGTCAGGCAACTACACAGCATTCCCTAGGAGAAATACAGAAAGTGCAGTTAGCAGTCCTCCCTGGAGGACACGTAGATTGTTCCCAGTCACGAGCAACCAAACACTCTTTGTGTCTGTGTGCTCTCATGTCTGTGTGAGCCTACATGTGGAAAAATAATAAACTATTTAAGGGCTCATGCCGATGAGCCGTCAGTGTGGCTTATGGACTTACTACTCAGTGAAGTAGGGTCGCTACATCGCTATTAACATGGTGCTTTCCCCTGCATCCCTGTCTTCATCCTGGATGAAGAATGGAAGGTGAGAACGTTACTCAGAAAACGGGAAGCTTTTGTGTGTCCCCACCAACCAAGAAGCTTGGAGAAGTTGTGTTACCAGACAAGTTACTGAAATTCCCTGTGTCTTGTTTACTCATCTTAAAATTAGGGCTATTGGTAGTCCATCTTTTTAGCTTAAAAGTTTAAACTTTTTCTTGGATAAAATCAGTTAAACAATGAGGATAAATAAGTCTATGTAAAGGCTGGAACATTGCTTGATTGGCAGTGCTTGTGTCTGAACGCTGTAGTTACCATTTATTTCTAAGTTAATAGAAATCAGTTTGTGTATTATGGAGTTATCTTTCTAATAACATTTTTCTAATAGAAATTTTCTAGTAGAAATCACCTACTGTCAAGTTGGGAGCGTAGGCCCCAGTCCCTCGCATCTATCCCAGCCCCCAGGCCTGATCTGGACTCCAAATCCCAGCTGGCCAGGGGGTGGGGTCAGGACCACTCCCCAGGGTAATTTAAGTGATCCCCCAAAAGAAGAACACGTGGTCTCCCTTTCTTCCTTCTGGGGGTGGCATTCCCGAGGCTTCCCGGTTTCCCCCTCAGGGTCACCCGAGAGTGCAGATCTCCCATTAAACCTGGATATTTCTTAATTTGGCTTGTTTTGATTTGGCTTGATTGGGAATTTTTGTGACAGCAGGGAGATAATATTAAGAAATATTCCTAACACCTACTATCGAATATAATTTTTCTTGCTATAGCAGTAACACAGTCCTATTAATTCTTTAATCCAGTTGTGGGTCACTTTGAAAATTAAGAAATCAAAGCCACTGAGATGCAATCAAATATGCGGATATAACCTTGAAGAGAGGCCCAGTGATGTTCTGTGGGCATGTGATTCAAATTCCAAAGCAAGTGTTGAAAGACTGTGCACACACAGGATACACTTCTGTATGATTATTAGTGATGCAGGAGTGTGCACACACAGGATACACTTCTGTATGATTATTAGTGATGCAGGAGTGTGCACACACAGGATACACTTCTGTATGATTACTAGTGATGCAGGAGTGTGCACACACAGGATACACTTCTGTATGGTTATTAGTGATGCAGGAGTGTGCACACACAGGATACACTTCTGTATGATTATTAGTGATGCAGGAGTGTGCACACACAGGATACACTTCTGTATGATTATTAGTGATGCAGGAGTGTGCACACACAGGATACACTTCTGTATGATTACTAGTGATGCAGGAGTGTGCACACACAGGATACACTTCTGTATGGTTATTAGTGATGCAGGAGTGTGCACACACAGGATACACTTCTGTATGATTATTAGTGATGCAGGAGTGTGCATACACAGGATACACTTCTGTATGGTTATTAGTGATGCAGGAGTGTGCACACACAGGATACACTTCTGTATGATTATTAGTGATGCAGGAGTGTGCACACACAGGATACACTTCTGTATGATTATTAGTGATGCAGGAGTGTGCACACACAGGATACACTTCTGTATGATTACTAGTGATGCAGGAGTGTGCACACACAGGATACACTTCTGTATGGTTATTAGTGATGCAGGAGTGTGCACACACAGGATACACTTCTGTATGATTATTAGTGATGCAGGAGTGTGCATACACAGGATACACTTCTGTATGATTATTAGTGATGCAGGAGTGTGCACACACAGGATACACTTCTGTATGATTATTAGTGATGCAGGAGTATGCACACACAGGATACACTTCTGTATGGTTATTAGTGATGCAGGTGTGCACACACAGGATACATTTCTGCTGTATGGTTATTAGTGATGCAGGAGTGTGCACACACAGGATACCCTTCTGCTGTATGATTTTTTGGCTCATATTCTTGTGCATGCTGTACTATGTTTCCTGTGGTTAGGGACTTGTTATCTATTTTCTTATTTTTATATTTCCTAGTGAAACACTACATACCAAATACTTTGTGCTTTTTGGTTTGTTTTTCGATTTTATTTATTGATTGATTGATTGATTTTTGCTTTTTCAAGACAGGGTTTGTCTGTGTAACCCTAGCTGTTTTGGAACTAGCTCTTGTAGACCAGGATGGCCTTGTACTCATAGAGATTTGTCCATCTCTGACTCCCAAGTAGTGGGATTAAAGGCGTGTGCCACCACTGCCTGGCTCATATTTTTAAAATAATAATGGTCAATAGACAGTGAAGGCTTTGAGAAGATAAGTTTTGTTATTTTTGCTTCTACTTTAAAGTTTTATTTGTATGACTTTTTTCCCACATGTGTATCTTAGCACTTTGTGTGTGTCTGGTGTCCTTAGGGTCTAAAAGAGGGTGCCAGATGCTCTGGAACTGGAGTTACAGATGGTTGTGGGTGCCCGGAATCAAACCCAGGTCCTCTGGAAGAGCAACCAGTGATCTTAACCACCGAGCCATCTCTCCAGCCCCAGGCTTTTTATTTGAATTCATAGCGCTGCTTCCTGTGTCAGGTCTTGTGGCCCGGAGTGTGTGGTGAGCTGGGCGAGCTTGTTTTTATTTGCTGTTTTATAGAAGCGTGGCCTTCACATGGAGCTCTGTTTTAGTTTTCTGTTGGTGATTCTGGTGCTTTATAAAATGATAGCAGTCCACTTTCCTCGTGTGAATTTATTACCATAGTGTTTTCCATCTGCTGATCCTTACGGGTGTGTTTGCCGGTTGTGTTTTGCGATGAGCCCCATAGAGAGGGATCACCATCTTGCTCCATTTAGCTCTCATGCCCTTGGATTCCTAGCCTTTGAGCTGCAGCTCTCGGCTGCGTGAAAGATGCCCTCCCAGATGCCTGCTTTAGTTGCAGTTACAGATCCCGTTCCAGAGCCAGGGACCTGCATCAGTTGTCTTCAGCTGGCCCTTCTTAGTCTTCATCTTAAGGCAGAGGAACTAACGCTGACCAGGTAAAGCCACCTGGGAGCACAATGTGATGAAGCTGCTGCGTCCTGAGCCGGAAAGCTGTTCCTCGCTCCAGATCGGCATCCCCTTCCCATCAGCCTCTGGGATTTTTTTTTCAATCAGTCCATCTTATCTTTTAATGATAATGTGCAAACTATTTAAGCGCCCTGATATGCTGTATTTTCACATTTCTCTGAAGAAATTCTGGCTTTAAAACAGTTGAGCAGTTCTATGCCTGAGATTTCAGTACTTTTCGCATTAATTCAAAAGCAGGACCACCACAGTCCAAGCTACTTAGAGAAAGAAGAGTGGGTGGAGCCAAGCAGGACAGCAGTACAGATGGAGCTGGGGATTGGTTGGAGAACCAGAACTGAAAGTGATGGAGAGCAGCCAGCTAGGTCAGTGTTTCTAGGCCGGGGTGTGTGACAAAGCCTGGCTTTAAGTCTAGAAACTCCTTTATGAATATGCTAATCACCCCGAGTGGATTACCACCCACTGCATGCCTGAATCTCACCATCATATACCTTATGGACTGTACAGATATGTATCAATAAAAATAAGAACCAAAGTCTCCTTATGGAAACATAATTATTTAACAGTTTGTTAATTTTTCTCTAGAAAACCACTTCTCATTGATAAAACACAGATATAGAAAAGCACACTATAAAATATATAATTACTGTAACAAATACAACTTGGTTGACTATTCAAGAAGCCCTTCTTTGTGCTTTCCTTTTAGTTTTATTATCCGTTTGGGAATCTTGCCCTTTTCACTTGCTACGTATTCCATCTTTTCCTTACAACTGTGTGTTGAGAAGCATGGGTCCTGAGGCTGTGGAGTTGGACACTCCGCAGGAGTGCACATGGGTTATGTGGTTCAGTGTGTTCCTCTGTCCTCTGCGTTTCCTGCAGATGTAGCAGGATGGGTGGCCTGAGTTTCCATCCTTTGACAAGACTCTAGAAGGTGGTTATCTTCTTTCTTCGGAAAGTTCATAATGTCTGGTCTTTGCTTTATTATCAGCTGTTGACTGATCAGTATTTAGACACCTTGATCAGGGCCTGAAAATGTTAGAACAGTTTTTTTTTCTGAATAATTTTGTGGGAAGGTAGTGCACACTCATGCGTGTGTGCATGTTTGTGTGTGTGTGCGCGCGCGTATGTGCGCACACGTGCGTGCTCGCGTGCATGTGTGTGTGTGTGTGTGTGTGTGTATGTAGGCCAGAGGTCAACCCTGGGTGCCCTTAGGAGTCCTCCACCCTTGTCCTTTTGAGACAGGGTCTCCCTGGGACCTGTGCAGGTCAGATAAGTGAGGATGGCTGTCCAGGGAGTCTCGGGACCTTGCCTCCACATTTTCGGTGCCAGGATTCCAAGTGTGCTGCCAGACCTGGCAGTCTGTTTGCCGTTCCCTCATCTACTGTGCTTGACACACTGATTAGTGAACAAACGCCAATTGGCTCTGCACTTTGCTTGGTTTGTTGCACACCCATGGCTATATCTGTGTCCTCTTGAACGGACACTGCTGAAACTAGATTTGGTGGTGAACATTGATTTTGACTGTTGCTACGTTAACTCGGGGGTTGATAGGAAACTTGATTATACAGGGACTTTTCTATTGTTGGGGGGCGCTGTTTGTTCTGCTCAGGTTGCCCACAGGTCTTTGCTGTTCCTCTACTTGCTTTGCTCTTATCTGGGGATCTAAGAAGCACACAAATGTTCCTGCTTCCCTGCCTATTGCCATCTTCTGAGTCCATCAGTCAGCTGTTTGCTTATTCCCAAGAGTGGCATGTAAAATGTAAAGATAGAATGATCATCTGATAAGTTATATTCTAGTATGAATTTCTTTAGAAGATTTATACAGATCTCTATGAAAGATTACTGATGGTGTTCATTTCCTTTATTAAAATTAATCTTCGATGGCTGGAGTGTGGATTAGCGGTAGAGTGTCTACAAGCATGCACAGGCCCTGAATCCTCAGCATAGGGACTTTGGGGGTGTAGCTTTTCTGAGCGCAGCCTTTTCTTTATGGGTTTAATTTTCTGTTCACTGATTTCTGCTCTGGGCTTTGTCTCCTGCTCTCTGCTTATGTTGCCTTTTGTTTTCTAATTCTGCTCAGAACAAGCAGATACTGATTTCAGTCATTTACTACTGTAAATGTCTATACTCCACATTGGAGAGTGACTCTCCACTGACACCACATGGTTTGTCAGGAAAACTACAGGAAAGAACGGGGTTCAGGGAACACATGAGAAGGGAAATTTTGTTGAGTCTTGGGGTTTTATCAAAAATCAGAAAAGGATCAATGTGGGAGAAGGAAAACTTAAGATTTTTGTTTATCAATGAAAAAAATAGGGCATTGAAGGCAGCCCTTAAGACATCCTTGACAATGACGTCCTTGCATTTAAAGATTGTGTTCTTGCATTTTATTTTTCAAACTGATCCTAGTGATGGTGAATACAATATGGCACCTGAGCAGAACAGGGTGCGGCTACACCACGCACACAGCTGGCTGCACCCAGAAGCCAGTGACAGTCCCTTCTCTCACAGAGACGATGCGGCTACTAACATCTAGCTGCACCCCTCTGCTTTACTTACTTGCCAGCAGCCTGTATCTGTTTGTAGTGAGCAACGGCGGGCTGCTTCCCGGCGCCTGGCCGCCCTCAAGGCTAGCTTTACACCCGAAATAACAACATGCAAATTATATTCTTTTAAACACTGCTTGGCCCATTAGCTCTAGCCTCTTACTGGCTAACTCTCACTTCTTGATTAACCCATTTCTAATAATCTGTATAGCACCACAAGAAGGTGTTTTACCGGCAAGGATCTTAACCTGTGTCCATCTTGGAGAGGAGAGCTATAGCGACTGCCTGATTCGACTTTCTTTTTCCCAGAATTCTGTTCTGTCTACTCCACTCACCTAAGGGCTGGCCTATCAAAGGCCAAGCAGTTTCTTTATTAATTAACCAATGAAAGCAAGAGATAGACAGATGACCCACCTACATCATCTGTTTTTACTGATTGTTGCATTTTCTTTCTATTTCTTTTGCAGAGATGCTGAGCCGATTTTCGGAAATAGGAAATGCTCTTTTGGGTGAACTGTCCAGCTATAATGCCGAACAGAACGTGAAAGCTCTCTTAGAAGCTGTGAGTAGCTTTGTCCAGATTCAGAGTATCAAGACCTCCATTGTGTGTTCTTCTGAGGAAAACACCTTAAGCTAGAGGGATGTGAGCAGCTTCCCTCATGCAAAGTAGAAGTGATGTTTAAGAAAACCACTGTCATTCTGTAAATGATCCTGTACTAAGGACTATTAGTCCGAGAGCTGTGGGGACAGAAACCAAGTGTAGATGAGCCGGGAAAGATGGGTCTCCGTTGTCTGTTTAGCCAGTTTAGTACCAAACTGTCTTAAGAAGTTATTGTTAACATCTTCCTTCTCCCCTTCCTCCTCCCCTTCCTCCTCCTTAGGGACATAGCTCTTGTTCCAGGGGAAAAGTGTAAAGAGTAAATGGGACTGAAACACTATTTTTGTTTGAAAACTTCTGTTTATTTCTGTAAATATGTCTGCCTTTCTTGTAGTTTGCATTGTATTTTCCAACCCTAAGGATTCAAAAAGATGTCCATTAACTTTTTCAAAGACAAGTGGCAAGCCAAATAGTTGAGGGCTTTTGTTTTGTTTTAATTTTCAAATAACTTATTTTAATTTTTATTTTGTTTGAGACAGGGTCTTGTGTATCCCAGGCTGGTCTCCAACTTACTCTGTAACTAGCCAAAGATGACCTTGGACTCCTGATCTCTCACCTCTGCCTTCTGAGTGTTGGGTCCTAACCACACTTGGGTACCTCTGTAGAGAACATGAACCGTCAGGTATTGGGGGCGTGTGCAGTTTACCCTAATGCTGCTGTGCCCCTGTGGCTCACAGTGGTTGTAAGTCAGCCTCCACTCCCCCTGCCCCCTGTATTATATTATCAGAAGTGTTCCTTCTGAGGGGAGTTTTTCAAGTTCTGAGCCACAGCCCTTGAGGGCACTTGTTACCTCCCAGTGCCCTGCTTAGCCTTGCCTTTCAGGGACATTGCTTTTCCTTGTCTGCCCTGGGAATGTGTCTCAGGAGAAGAGTACCTATGCAGTGTGGATAAGGTCCTAGGTTTAGTCCCTCGTACAGCAGGGGCACGAAAGGGAGGGGAATAGAATAGGGTTGTTTAACATCTCAAAGTTGGTTTTAAAAGCAAATAATTTGTTTGTTTGAATTCTTTTCCTCCTCTATGGTTCATACTGACGAATATCTTGCATATCATCATAGAACCTTCATCTGGTGATGGATGGAGACAGAGACAGAGACCCACACTGGAGCACTGGACTGAGCTCCCAAGGTCCCGATGAGGAGCAGAAGGAGGGAGAACATGAGCAAAGAAGTCGGGACCACGAGGGGAGCACCCACCCACTGAGACAGTGGAGCTGATCTATTGGGAGCTCACCAAGGCCAGCTGGACTGTGACTGAAAAAGCATGGGATAAAACTGGACTCTCTGAGCATGGCCAACAATGAGGGCTGATGAGAACCCAAGGACAATGGCACGGGGTTTTGAACCTACGTAATGTGCTGGCTTTGTGGGAGCCTAGCCAGTTTGGATGTTCACCTTCCTAGAAATGCACGGAGGGGGGAGGACCTAGGACTTACCACAGGGCAGGGAAATCTGACTGCTCTTTGGGCTGGAGAGGGAGGGGGAGAGGAGTGGGGGGAGGGGGAGAAGGGTGGGAGGAGGGGGAGGGAAATGGGAGGCTGGGAGGAGGAGGAAATTTGTTTTTTTTTCTCTTTTCTCAATAAAAAAAAAGTTAAAAAAAAGGTAAAAAGTGATTTGGAAGGCACATTCTTTTATTAAATCAGTATTTTTTAAGGTGCATTGAAAATTGACTTCACTGTATTTGAGCTTACCCTGTACTAACTCACATTGCGTGTACTTAGAATGTAGAACCCTATAAGGAAAGGCACTTTGGTGACACTTTGTTTGATCTGTGTTTGTACATGTGTGTTCATGTATGTGCAAGTGCATGTTTATGCACACAGGTATGCATGCACACATGCACATGTGTGTGGTGGTCAGAGGACTATGGATGTCATTCCTTCCTCTCGAGCCATTGACCTTGATACTTTCCCCCTCGGAGGTGGGGCCTCTCATTGGCCTAGGTCACCACTGAGGCTAGGCTGGCTGGCTGGCAGAGAAGCCTCCGGAATCCTGTTTCTACCACCTCAGTCTGGGATTCACATGGCCTGGCTTTTTTTATGTGGATTCTGGATATTGAACACAAGTCCCCACGAGTACTTTGCCAATTGTGCCAATCTTCCCAGCCGCTCATTTCTTTGTTCTTGAGTGCAAACCTGTTCCAAGTTCTAAGCGGTCTTTCAGAATGTACTGCTAAGTGGGATTTCAGAGTGTACTACTTTGAAAACTAGACTATGAATTGCATATATTGATTTATTGATTGATTGATTCAATAGGTATTTTTCAAGTGCCTGCCCTGTGATTGAAAACAGAAGAGAAATGGTTTTGCCTCTAAAGATTGCTCTCTTTTGTTGGTAAGATATGCATGTTAGCTCTGCTACTTAGGGACAGGACAGGAACTATGTAATTTTGAACGTGAGTGTGTGTCATTTTATCTTAAATATATTAGGCTCCATGATTCAAGGCCTTGCTTGCATTTGGGTTTGGTTGTTGTCACGCTCTGGAGAAGGCATTTTGGATATTCTCTACTGCTGGATGGGCCATGGCATGTGGTGTTTTTCTCAGCCCTTTTCTTCCACACTCGAAAGCGTAGCCTTACAGGTGCACATGGCATTTTGGAAGGTAGGCAAATAATTGTGCTTATTTATCTGTAATTATGTCCAAATGTTTCTTTCCAGAAATTGAGGGTAACGCAAAAGAAACTTGAGGATCCGGAAGAAAGCCTTGTTGGGCCGTGCTCAGACTGTCGACTTGCTGCAGCAGGAGCTGACTTAGGCCGAACAGAGAAACCAGGTACTGTCTGCGGTCCTACTCCCTGCCGGGGAGGGCTGGTTTCTACTTCAGGTTGTTGGGCAGCAGGCATGAAAACCTTGAAGCGGCCAGAGGGTTGGTGTCATCTGTTCATTCTTTTCGGCAAACGCTCAGTGCTTACCTGGTGTTGATACAGCTGTAAAACAGGCGTGGTCCCTCCCTGGGCTTTCATTTTCTGTCTTTATCGTACTTTTCCTTCATGGCTGTAGGCTAGAGTCTTTCTGTAGTTTCCTCTTTTCCTCTGGCGAATTTCTTTCTGGTCACTCCCCCTCTTGTTTGTCTTGAGTGGTTCTTGTGCTTCGTGCACAGTCTCTGCTTGGTTTTCCTTGGTCAGCTTTCTTCTGGGTTGAAGTAATCGGGTAAGGCCATAATTCTTCCTTTGTCTTGCTGTACTGTATGGACCCACGCTGCCCATCTGGGCTACTCTTATCTGCCTTTGGCGTCCCTGTGCCCTTGTCCTCCTGTCATATCCAGTCTACTTGACTGGAATCCCGAAAGGCATGAAAGCAGCTTCCCCACAGGAGTAGCGAGGGGGTGATGCTAACACACATCTCAGGAGCGGTCCGACTCCAGTGCCTTAGATCCGTATCTTGGGTGAACCATTACTCCTGTTTCACACTCGTGTTCCCAGTGTGGGATCAGCTTTGTTTTTTTTTTTTTTTTTACGAAGATTTATTCAGGTTTAGGGTACACAAGTCAGTCTAAACAAACTTACAAGTCTATTAGAGAAACCATAATACTTCCAGTAAATACATTAACAGCAAACAAGTTTGTTTGCCAAATAGCTGGATAGCCAGTATATTCCTTTCTCCTTCTCCATCTGTCTCTGTGGAAAACTAGATTATAATCACCCCAAGGCTCTTAGTGAATATAAGTGTCAGAACAAAGGGAGTCTGGATCTTAGTGGACCAGGCTGGCACACAACTGCAGTGAGTGTGTTTATCCACCTTTGTTGTGAGATGATGCCCTCCTACACTGACAGAGCTGTTAAGACTAGGTCCCTGGACAGTACTGTGAGCCATAAGAAAGTGTTTACTGAGACCTTTTCCAGCTCTTCACATAGGCAGGAGCTGTGTTATACTCTAGGTTGTATAGTAATACCGTATTGTATGTATTTGCTTCAGTAACTATCCTTTAGTCTGTCTCTGTCAACCAGATCATCTTAATATTTTATGTATTCCCAAATATTTCAGAATGTGCATTATGGACCAGATTTGTTAGTAGTTGTTAGTAGTTGAGGTACACTAGGTGAGCAATGCTTTTTATCTTGAGATAAAATTTATAAAGCATTAAATGTATAAATCATAAGTATAACATGAGAATGTTATACGGTTTCTGTTGCCCAGATGAAGGCCCAGCTGAGAGAAATGGAGGTTGTGAAAGAAGAGCTGGAAATGGAAATTAGTTCTACAACAAGTGAGCTGACCCAAAAATCAGTAGTATTTCTGTTACAAGAGCAGATATGTAAACAGGGTTTAGAAATCCAGAAGTTAAAGGCAGCCTCCCATGAAGCCGAGGCCCACGCGGAAAGCCTGCAGCAGGAATTGGAAAGCACCCAGCTCAAACTTGCTGGCCTGGAACACTTGAAAGCCTTACAGCCTGAACTAGATGAACTGCAAAAAGACATGCAGCAGAAGGAAGAAGAGGTCAGCTACCTGTCTGGACAGCTTAGTGAGAGAGAACAGACCCTCCCCAAAGTCCAGGCAGAGATGACGGAGCAGGAGCATTTGATCAGGGCCCTGCACACACAGCTGCAAATGCAGGCTAAGGAGCATGAGGACAGGCTAAAGCAGTTCCAGCTGGAACTTTGTGAGCTGAAACAGAAGACAGAAGAGGGCGAGGAAGAAGCTAAAGCAAAGCAGCAGATACAGAGGAAACTGCAGGCGGCTCTCATCTCCCGAAAGAATCTGCAAGAGGAATTGTCTTCGGCTAGACATGCTATGGCACACCTGACCAAGTCTCTCACAGATGTGGAAAGCCAGGTTTCTGATAAAAATAAAGAGAGGGATGAATTCAAGGGAAATTTAGCCCTTCTTCAGGGAGAAAGAGACAAACTCATTGTAGGAATGGACAAGTCTTTACTCGAAAACCAGAGCCCCGGTGGCTCTTGTGAAAGCCTGAAATTAGCTCTGGAGGGGCTTATGGAAGAAAAGGAAAAACTTATGAAGGAGCTTGAATCTCTGAGATGCTCTAACATTGCAGAGAGTGCCGAATGGCAAGAGAAGCACAGGGAGCTGCATAAGGAGTATGAAGTTCTTCTGCAGTCCTACGAGAAACGCAAGCAACAAAGTAGAGAGGATCCAGCACGTGGTGGCAGGTGTGAGGCAAGAGAAGCAAGAACTGCATGGGAAATTATGAAGCACAGAGACAGACAAAAGGGAGATGGAAAAGCAGCTGCAGGATGCCGAACAGGAAATGGAAGAGAGGAAAGAAAAGATGAGAAAGTTTGCTACATCAAAACAACAGAAGATCCTCGAGCTGGAGGAAGAAAATGACCTGCTCAGAGTAGAGGCTCAGTCTCTAGGAGGAGCCAAGGAAAGCATGGATGCTCTTCTTTCTGTGAATTCCAGCCTGAAGGAGGAACTAGAAAGGGTACAATTAGAGTATAAAACCCTTTCTAAGGAGTTTGAGGCTTTAATGGCAGAGAAAAGCCTTCTGAGAGAAGATCTGAAGCTTCAAGGGGAAGAGAGTGCACTGAAACAAGCTAGCCTAGAGACCACTGAGAAATTCCATCAACAAAAGGATGTCATCACTGAAGAAGAAACACAAGCTCTGGCGGGCAAATCGCAAGAGCAAGATACTCAGAGTGTGAGTGTTAAACTTGAAGATTTGGACAGTCTTCTTTCAGCAAACAGCACTAAGCCTGGCACTAGTGAGACTTTGGGCTCCCACGATGACATCAGTGACCACCTCCAGCAGCTTGAACAACTCAAGGGAAGAATTGCTGAGTTAGAGATGGAGAAACAGAGTGACAGGGGGCTTAGCCAGACACTAGAAAATGAGAAAAATGCCCTCCTGAGTCAAATCTCGGCAAAGGATGGCGAACTAAAACTATGTGAGGAAGAAGTCCCCAAAGTAAACACATTAAACCAGCAAATTCAAGAAGAACTTTCCCGAGTTACCAAGCGGAAAGAGATGGCAGAAGAAGAAAAAGATGACTTAGAGGAAAGGTTAATGAACCAGCTGGCAGAATTTAATGGAAGCATTGGGAATTATTACAAGGATGTTACAGATGCCCAAATAAAAAACAAGCGACTAGAATCTGAGTGTAGAACCTGAAAAGTGCATGAGTGACTTAGAAGAAGAAAAGCAGCAGTTGATTAAGGAGAAAGCCAAGATGGAGTCAGAAATATGGAAGGAGTGTTTAGAGAAGATACAAGGTGCCCAGAAAGGACCTGGCAATCAAAGCCATGCAAAGGAGCTCCAGGAGCTGCTGAAAGAAAAACAGCTCGAGGTGAAGCAGCTGCAGAGGGACTGCATTAGGTACCAGGAGAGGATCAGCACTCTGGAGAAGACGGTTAAGGCCTTAGAGTTTGTTCAGACTGAATCCCAAAAGGATCTGGACGTGACCAAAGGAAATCTGGTGCAAGCAGTTGAACATCGTGAAAAGGCCCAAGGGGAACTATCTAGCTTCAAGGTACTGCTCGATGACCCGCAAAGCGAAGCCGCGAGAGTGCTAGCAGACAACCTCCGTCTGAAAAAGGAACTTCAGTCAAACAAAGAAGCCATCAAGAGCCAGATGAAACAGAAAGATGAAGATCTGGTACAAAGACTGGAGCAAGCGGAAGAAAAACACCTGGACGAGAAAAAGAACATGCAAAAGAAACTGGATGCTTTGCATGGAGAAAAGGTCCGCATGGAAGACACGCTTGCAGAGATCCACGTCACCCTGTCCCAGAAAGACAAAGCAATGAAACAGCTGCAGGAGAGCCTGGGCAGCACTGTGGCTCAGCTCGCAGCCTTTACTAAGAGCATGTCATCCCTCCACATTCCGTACATACTGTTGTACACACTGACTCCCTGGTCTCGCCATCCACATCCGTACATACTGTTGTACACACTGACTCCCTGGTCTCGCCATCCACATCCGTACATACTGTTGTACACACTGACTCCTGCAGTTCTGGACATCACTCTGCATTCATTCTGCTGAGTTTTCCTGTCAGTTTTGAATTGTGTTTCACATGTGGAAACCTAGCTCTTTGCTCAGGATCCAAATCCAATGGCGGCTTTTCTATGAAGGTCCTCCAGTCCTGCCAATAGGAGCTCCTCCTCCAGTCCAGTCACAGCCCGCTCTCACCACTTCACTGGGTGCTTCCACTTGTAGAATAAATTTTACTCTGATATGTATTAGTTTTGCTACATGGCTAACATTGCATAAGAATGTTTGGAATATGGATTTTTCTTCTTTGCACCATGAGTATATTTGAGCCATTTTTTTTTTCATGGTGTAGAATAGAAAAGAATACCTGGGAACTTCATGAGAAGCAGGTGAAGAAGTAGTACATTATGGCCATCGCAGATAAAGATCAGCAGCTCAGTCATCTGCAGAGTCTCCTGTGGTCTTCCTCACAAAGCAGATTCTCTCTGCACAGTACCAGAGACAGGTGAGGAGATCATGTAGTTTGCTCAGGGTGCCACTACCCAAAACAGCATCCTCCTCCTATAAGTAACTGCCCATCTGCGACTTCTTCTACAGTGGGCGTGATTTCTTCTAGGGGGAGGAGTTAAGTATGAACAGTCTGAGGAGACAATGCCACGGATGTTTGTTTCCTGGCAGGCATCCCCAGAAACATCAGTCTCCATCACAAAACCTTATTTATGAGACAGAACTTCTCAGGGCTCAGCTTAATAACAGCTTAAAAGAAATTCACCAGAAGGAATTAAGAATTGAGCAGCTGAACAGCAAGGTAAGTATTTTGTGCTAGACTGAAAATCAGTTTCTTTTTTTCTCCTCCTGGAGGTAAGATTCAGCACAGGCTCCAGCTCCAGCAGAACTTATGAACAGAAGTTATAAGAGTGAGTGTTTATTCCAAAGCATAGGACACAGGCCACATTCCCCTCGCCTTTGGATGGTCTTTGAGAGTGACTTGGGGAAACCCATGCAGAAACTTCACCCCATCTTATCATGTGTTAGTAATGTGTCAGCATCTCCTCATGCATCTCCATCAGTCACTGTTTCCTGCTGCTCTGACTGGTCCAAGTGTTCTCAATGGCTCCTCCCAGTCCTACCCTCTTCAGAGAAACCTAGATAGGTAGGGTCTGTCAAAATTAGACGTCATTCATGAGGCTAGTGGTTAGTGAGTCCAGGGGTCTGTGAGAAGAGTTGTGAATGCCCGCAAATGTCTGCACAGTGTGGGGTGGGTGTGTGCATCTTCTCACAGGAAGTCATGGAACACGGGCATTGAGGCTGCTCACGGGTGAAAGTGCTTGCTTTACAATCCTGATGACTTCCATTTCATCTTACAGTGGAAAGATAGAATCGGCTCCTGAGCGCTCTTCTCTGTTCTCTACATGTGTGCTGTAGAATGAACATGCCTACACTCGTGCATGTGTATTTCACACATGCACACACACGCACACAGACACAAATACTAATAACATTGTGATTCAAAATCACAAAAATCGGGAGATGGTTTTCCCAGATGAGGAGAAAAGCCCACTTGCTCAAGATTGCAGTCATTCTAAAGTCAGTGGTCATGTGTGTGACTAGTGTGTTTACCACACATAGAAGGGACTCATTAGATGATAAATTCAACCATCAGTAGAGTATCAGAGACTCCATTGGCTTTGGAGCCAAATGAATTGATGAACTAAGTGGCTTAGTTTTGTTTGGTGGGGAGGGGTCTCCATCACCGACCTATTACAGAGGTTCTGACCTTTGTAGCTCTGTGGCTGTGAAGACCCAGTGACTCCTTCTGGTCACACCTCAGCTCTTGTCCCTCTCTAAATGCTAGTCTGTGGCTCTGTCGAGGCTTCTCCTCCTATGACAGCATTTTAAACAGAAACAGCTGTTTATAGGTGATGAAATAAATTATTTTGGTAGATGATAACAGCTGAAAATTTTAAATGTTTTATCGAAGTAAAATGTAATTGGTTATCTCTTACTCTTTTTATGCTAGCTCTTTTGGGGGTCCACCATCCAGCTCCCAAATAAATACACACACAGAGGCTTATTATTACTTATAAAAGCCCAACCTTATCTTGTTTCTATCCAGCTTTTCTTTAACTTGAATTATTCTGACTACCTTTGCCTCTGGGCTTTTCCCTTGTCTCACTTCTGTATACCGTACTTTCACTCTTATTCCGTGTCTTGCTGTGTAGCTGGGGGGGGGAGAGGGCTGGCCTCTGCCCTCCTCCTCTCCTTATTCTCTCTTGCTCCTCCCTCCAGATTTCTCCTTCTATGTATTCTCTCGGCCTGCCAGCCCCACCTGTCCTTTCTTCTGCCTTGCTACTGGCCATTCATCTCTTGATTAGACCATCAGGTGTTTTAGACAGGCCAAGAATCACAGCTTCACGGAGTTAAACAAATGCAACATAAACAAAAGTCACACACGTTAAAGTAATATTCTACAACAGTTAACACACAAAAGTAACAGATCATTGGCATAGCAGGCTACGTGTTCACAAAGAGATGTGTAACAAGCAGTCAAGATAGAGAACCAGGATGTCTCACACCCCGGCAAGTCCATCATTCCTCTTCTAATCACAGGCTTAGAACTAAGTGGAGCCGTTTGCAGTATGAACATATTGCTATAGGCCATTGTCTGGATAAGAAATAGTTCTCTTTCGAGTCTGGCTATGAGGAAGGCACCTCCCCAGCCCACTGATCCACTAGTTAACAAGTAACTGTCATTGCCTGCTGAGAGTCTGGCCATATGGTAGGCACTGAGGACACACATAAACCTTAAGTCATGTGAGCTTAGTCTCACTCCCTATAGGTCCCAGCTTCTCACTCGAGTGAGATGAAGTTGAGGGGCCGTCACACGTGTTTCTTTCTAACCCTGTCTGCCCTTGCTCCTTTGCTGAATGCTAAGGTGTTGTACACAGTTCTACCTGCTTAGCTCAATGTCTCTGTGCAGTGTAGGAATGTGTTAGAAACCTTAAAACGTGACTAATGGTATAATGTTAGTCTAGCCTTAGTGGACTGAATTCAGTTAGCCTGTGAGTAAAATAGAGGCAGAAACTGAGGAGCCTCTGTGGTGGCAGCCCCACAGCAGCCGTTCCTATGAGCAGTGGTTGCTCCAGTGAGACTCCATGTACACTGACTGGGAGGGCTGTGCCCCTGGATCCTATGCCTGCTCCTAACCCCAGAAACCTAGACAGAATGCAGACAGCCAAGACGGGTTACGAGTGGCTGATTAGTGATCGACTATTTGTCTTTGTAGTTCATAAGACTTCGCTTCCAACAAGTTTATGGGTCTGCCCTCTGTTTCTAGATTTTCTAGAGACAAAATGAGAAGACAGTTTTAAACACTGGGGAGATTATTTTGCTTGTCTTTGGTGTGCCCTGGGCTGTTCATTCCAGCCAGGAACGCTTTTCCTGTGGTGGGAAAGCATGGTGTTAGTCCTCACCCTGGAATTCCTACTGTACTAGGCCTGCCGCTCTCAAATAAGCTTAACTCCCCCCAAATTCACAGCCTTTTCTTCAGTAACAGCCGTTCTCCCCACACCCATGCCTTCCCAGTGCCCTTACTGTAGTTTAGATTGGGAAGCATCATAAAGCAGGTGGGAGTCAAGACTGAGACCCACACTGTGAGTCTTGCTCTGGGAGCTGCTGCTGCCATGGCCTTGAGTAGTGTAAGCTTATTTCTTTTTTCCATCTGTAAAAAAGGAGGGAGGTCCTTTCTCTGCTTCTTCCAATGAAGATGGAATTTGTCCAAATGTTTTGTAAACTGAAACTTGATCTTCAGAGTAACAACCACACAGAGTCATCTGGAGCCACATTCAGTTACAGAGCACGTTGTGATCATGTGTGCTATCTGTGTGCATCCAATGCGTTTTCCCAGATGCCTCTAGAAAACCGTTTTCTCTGAAGCACTGATGAACTTTCTTACACAAACACTTAGAAAAGAATCCTCAAGAGAACACAAGACTCCCAGCCAGATCCATCCATTTCCTGTGACCCAAACCTTCCCGTGTCTTTGTGGTGGGTACTCAGGAGGTCATCTCCATGGCTACTAATAGATCTGGGTGTTAATCATGACTGAAGTTTAAAATGACAGTCCACAAGTGAGGAATCCCAATTCTGGTTCCAGAGGAGTCCAGTCCCAGTCAGCTGGTAGAAGCCACAGCAGCTAAATGTTTTCACTCATCATAAAAAGGTTTTCTAGTTTAGAAACCAGCGGTTAGATTGCTTTGCCAGATAGTGGGTACCCGACACTGAACTTGTGCAGGAACAGATCTGATCGTGGCCTGTTCCTGGGGACCTAGAGGAAAGGTTGGCATACTGTTTCCACTTGGTGAGCATCTGGGCTCCCACTTCTGCTTCTCAAGTCCACATAGACATATATGACTTCTGTCTGCTCTCTTGGAAACATGTCCACCGGTAATACTATTACACACATTTTTAAGTATGAGCTTGCTCTTTGTCTATACTGAGTTCTAGGGCTTGTTATTTATTAGTAATTTAAGCATGGACCCAACCTTCTGCCCTCTGCTGACATTCCTAGAATAGCCTGTTCTACTGGAATTTTTGTTAGGGGGTTCTGTTTAATCGTTGTTCAGTTCATAGTCCTTGGAACCAGTAAAAATAAACCAGTTTCCTGCTCTTCCTCCAGAATTAGTTTCCTTTCGTGGCTGAAACACTTAGGTATTTTTCCCTTTGAAGAAGCAGACCACGGTAGGACTCTAAGGTAGATTCTGCACTGCAAATCAGGTAGGTCCTGCGAGTTCAGGCCAGTTGCCTAAGCACTGCTTCCAGTGATGTGGCCCTGAGCTGGCACTTATCCTCTCCCCTGCTGAAGTTCTCACAGCTGCTGGAGGAGAAGAACACCCTCTCCATCCAGCTCAGCGACGCCAGCCAGAGTCCCCACAAGAGCCAGCACCACTCCAGTGACCTCTCCAAGCACTGCGCTATCCTGGAGAAGCAGGTGCAGGAGCTGTAGGAGGTTAAGGCAGCAGCAGGAAGTACTCAGAGTGATAGCTAGGGATTGTCACTTCCCTACACAGTGGAAGGCTCTCAGTTTGCACACACACACTGAAGAGCTTCCGTCACAACTGCTTCACTGATGTTTTTTCTAGGGGCCACCAAATGTAGATATTTCAGGCACAACCCAGGAAATGCATGGAAAGAGAAAGAGGGATCCAGAGGCCACAGGGGAGCTACAGCCAAGGTAGAGGAGCAGGATTCACCCTCCATCATACACTGTGTGCAAAGAAATTGAGTGGTAGACAAGAGAGAGGGTGATGGGTGAATGTGATAAAAAGATCTTATCTACATGTATGGAAAGGTCATAATGAAACCTATTGTTGTGTATGGCCAGTTATGCTATTTTAACGAAATTGAGTTGTAATCTTGGTGAAGTAGAGTTTACCATATGCTCTTAGTGAGTCCTAGTATCTGACCAGCGTCACTGAGCCATGTAAAGATTGAGTGCAACAGTACCTAACAGATGTTGTGCAAGATGTGAGCAGTGCTTGTAACACAAGTGCACACATGCAGCACTACAAATGCTGGAATTATAGCTGCTCTGATGGGCTCGCATCTCCCCATAGGTATATTCCGCTTTAATTGTGCTGTAGCTGGACTTCTATGTTAGCTTAGTGTTCCCGTTTGGGGAAATGCTTCCAGCCTTGTGACGATGTATTCGAGATTGTGTCCTACATCCAGTGATGCCCTTTGCCTGCCTTTCACCCTCCAGATTGTCTGAAGTCCAGCAGCAGCTCTGCAGCACTAACCAAGAAGTGACTGAGTTAAAGCAGCTGCTGAAAGAAGAGCGAGAGCAAAGACTGGCCATTGAGAAAGCACTCTCCTTGGCGGAGGAGCAGATCGGAAGGTAAGGTGTGGGAGGTGCTTTCTGCTCACTTCTCACCCTCCCTGGCCTTGCTCCTGCACAAGTGTGCGACCAGGCTCCGGTGAGTTAAGATCTTAATCTCCCCTTGACTTGACACGGTCCTAGAGCAACTTGAGAGTCATCACAATGACAAGAGAAGCAGGGTACCTGTGGGGTTTCGGAAACCTGTGCTTTCCGGGGCAGTAGCTCGTAGGGGTTAGAAATATTTTTCCCATCCCTATTTACACAAGGAAACTTATATAAGGTGTCTTACTTCATCCCAGCAGTAACTATGTGAGGTGCATGTTGGGTTCTTGTGTGTGTGTGCATGTTGGTGGCAGGGGGGCAAGGTCAGAAGACAATGTTAGGTGTCTTGGTGTAACCCTTTCTAACATTGTCCCCTGAGACAGAGTCTCTCATTGAACCTGGCACTTGCCATTTTTCAGTGACCAGGGGTCGTTAGCCATCCTCCTGCCTCTGTCTTCTCCCTAGCCCTAGGGACTGCAGGTGCACACAATCAGGCAGCTCTCGCATGGCTGCCGGGGGGTGGGGATGCAGATCCTCAAGCTTGCAAAGCAGCGCTCTTCCCCACTGAGCCATTCCTTGACCCCAGCAACAGAGCCTTTAGAGGGCCAAATGAACGCATTCTCATCACCTGTCTGACTCCCAGATTTTGTTTGTTTGTTTTTGAGACCAGGTCTTTCTGAGTAGCTCTGGCTGGCCTGAAACTTGAAGTCACAGAAATCCACCTGCCTCTGCCTCCCAAGGGCTGTGATTAAAAGTGTATGTCACTGCACCTAGGTAGGCAATTGAAATTTTAAAGATTGTAACCTAAGGGAAATAGAAGAGCACTTAAGAAGGAGTGTGGCTTGATTTATTGGCAAATGCACTACCTAACCCTGAACTTCCCTTTGCCAGTCACTGGCTTCTGCCCAGCTAGGAGGGCATGGATGTGTGTGATACTGTGGACACTCTAACCCAAGTGTGATTGGAAGGACACAGCTGTGTCCTGCTCATTACTTATTCCACATCAAGGAAACTGGAGATCACTGTGTGTGAGAAGGTGGTGTGGCTGCAAGCATTCTGTTGCTGAGATCCCCTTTACGTGGAAAGAAACAGCAGGCACCTCCATTATGTGTGTAAGGGCGAGTCACTGTGTCTGCCGTCTCTTCCCTCAGAATAAATGGCACTGGGGGCGTTTCTGCCTTCTTTCAATGCCTTCCCCAGGGAGCAGGTCTTAGCTGAGATTTCCTTCTTTCCCATCCAGCTTATATACAGCTTTTGTTCTCAACACCGTCTAGGTAGCCTTGAGGGTAGGCTCTACGGGAACACAGTGCAGCTTGTGTAGTGGCCTTGCAGAGACTTTCAGACCTATTTGTTCATGGCCGTTTCTCTGCCACTTATGAGAAACCTGGTCCGTGGGGAGGCTCCAGACCACTGGAGACAGCTTAGTCAGGATGAGTCTGGAGCCTGTGTCTGGACCGCATTAACCTAAGGTGAGCCCCTCCCCCCTTTCCTTCTGACTGAGAGCAGAATGGAGGCCAGGTGTTGGTGATGCACACCTTTAATCCCAGCACTTGGGAGGCAGAGGCAGGCGGATCTCTGTGAGTTCGAGCCCAGCCTGGTCTACAGAGCTAGTTCCAGGGCAGACTCCCTAGGTGCATAGAGAAACCCTGTCTCAGAAAACAAAACAACGATAACAACAAACCCAGAATGGAGGGCAGGGTGACTAAATACGGTCCACCTCAACCAGGTTCAGATTAAGGTATTTCCTCTCTGCTGAAGAAGAGAGCGGCCCAGAGAGAAGTGCCCAGTTGATGGAGATTCCCTGTGTGGGGAAGAAACATGAAGAGGAAAGGGGCTTCGCATGCTCCCCACTCCAGTTAAAACGTCTGCCCTGTAGGCAAATGAGTGACAAGACAGGCCTTGCCCTGTTGTCCACAGAGGCCACTGAGTAATGGCAGCTTCTCCTTAAATGGAGAATTTCCAGAATGAAGTAATAAGCACATCAGCAGAAATCAGAGCAGAAGCTGCAGACACTACATGTGGCTGCAATGGCTGCAGCTCAGCCTCATGCTAAGAGTCCTACAAAATTTCTTGAGTCCTTTGCCTATCATAAATGGAAAAAAAAATGTCGAGAGTGATGGAGCATGCCTGTAATCCCAGCCCTGGGAAGCAGAGCCAGGACAATAGTAAGTTCAAAGCCAGTCCAGGCTGCATAGTAAGCCCCTTTCTCAAAAACAAAGAAAAAACCAGGGTGGGGTGGAGACGGAAGGGGAGAGAGAAATGAGTGAGTTTCTGAATGAAATGTAGTGGGGGAGGGGGAGGAGAACATGAGGCATAAAGACAAACGGGCATTGGGTTCTAGTTCGGTTGTTAGTCGTGCTTCCATGGGTCAGACACTAACCAGCTTCCCAGCCGGAAGCACCCAAGCCAGCATCCTCAATAAGCAGTTCCTTTACTACTGTGTGGGCCTGGCCTATGGAGAAATCTCTGCTGCCAGTCCCCTAGGCCACCTTCCCAGGATGGCTGGGAAGATTCTCATGCAGGGGACATGTGTTGTATCTTTCTCTTAACACAGGCTGGGGCAGAGTGAATGGAATCCGGCCCGGACTCCTACCATTGGTGCCGGTGGCTCTCACGAGACATCAGTGTGGATAGACATCCCGGGCAGCAGCTGCCGAAGGGCAAGAGGGAAGGACGCAGGGAGACCTCTGTGGTGGGACCGGGCTGAGGTACGGAGATGGGCAGTGGTATTGGTGGTCAGCCACTGAGGAAACTTTCTCCCGGGATGCCCCTCCGCTGTGAGGATGGGATCAGTTGGCTGAGATGCAGAATTACTGGTGAAGAGAAAGAGCCTCAGGTGCAGCTGACTTCCTCATGTTGTTGTTGTTGTTTTGTTTGTTTCAGACCCGGAATGGCGCTGGATGGAAACGGGTTCTGCGTTCACTCTGCCATTCCCGGTCCCGAGTGACACTGCTTGCAACTGTCTACTTCCTGATGGTTCACGTCCTCCTCATCCTGTGTTTCACAGGTCATCTATAAACTCATCACTCGACCACAGCTCTCAGAACTTGTAATTCCTTCATCTCTAATGTCAGAATTGTAGTTTTTAGAAAAGCCTTCCCACTTCCAACCCTTTCGTATCTCCTTGGAAAGTTCCCATAACAACAGAGGTGGCTATGAGGACAGGTTAGAACGCAAGGCCTGGTGCATCCTGTTTTCTGAATGTCCCTCCATTGGGGCTGGGGTAGGGGTGTCCTGAAGCCACTCAGGAGCCGGAGCATCCCAACTTCTAGCCTCAAGGACCCCTGAGCTACGGCTCATGGTTGTAAGTTATTCTGTCTTCAATGTCCTTGTCACCTGGCTCTGTGAACAGGGCTGAGGCAATGGGAAGAGAAGATGAAATTCCTGATCCAGATCTGAGAGCAGTGGTCACGAGTGACACCACTGTGCCTGTGCCCCCTTGCTAGCCGCCGGCTTTCTCATTGCCGACATCATGTCTTCCCTTCTGTGTTCATTACCTGAAGAGAGAGGACTGATGGGCTCACCGATCAGCTCTATGTTCTATGGTGATTCCATTTTAGTCACAACCTCCTAAGGACTTTCCTGAACTATTGTAAAATAATAAAGTGTTATTTTCGGAATGAAGATTTGTGTGAGGTTGTCTGTCGGCACAGTTGTTACGTACCTGTGTCTGCTCTCTGGAGAGTGGAGGAGGGATGGTTCCCGGAGTACTAAAGTTCTGAAAAGCCTCCCTTCTCACTGACCAGCCTCAGAGGGCTGTGAGCATCCTTCTAGCCTCAGCTGCTGGAGCCAAAGCAGACGAGGTGGGGGGAAGAAATCCACCCCGAGACTGAGTTAAAGGAGCAGAGTTGCCGGGGTGAAGTCCTGACGTCTTGTGTATTGTTCTGAGAGAGTACTGGAATAGGTTAGGCACTTGCCTGTAACTCCAGCACTCAGAAGGCCGAGACAGGAGATCATAAGTCCGGGGTCAGTTTTGTCCATATAGTTAAATTCAAGATAGCCTGTGCTACATAGCGAGACTCTGTCTCAGGAGAACAGAGCACAATAGCAAATCAGACTCCTAGGACACGCAGTGCGGGGGTTTCCTAGCTCATGCAGGTCGGGTGGGTATAATTACGCTTTTGTATGAAGTTGCCACTTGGGAAAAAGTGGCCGGCTATCTCATTGTACAAGTGGATTTATAACCCAATCCCTTTGGTGTCAAAGCTATTCCTGCGTGTTAGACTCCACTCAAGGGACAAACGGTGGATATCTGTAAAGGGGAAATGAGTTTTCTCGGTCTCATCTCTAAAGTTCTACAGTTTCTCCAGAGAACAGCATTGCCATATGATGTGTTATAACGTCTGTTCTGATACTTCTAATTCTGACATTGGATTAGAATTCCAGGTTAGCTAGAAGATTTCCCCTTTCTACATTTTCTCTACTTTAAAAAAGCTTTAAGAGAACAAATGAAATGTCCAGAGTCCAGTGTCCATTTGGAAGGGACCTTAGGAGCTTTCTGTTCTCCTGCAGAAACTCCCTGTTCTCCTGCAGAAACTCTCTGTCCTCCTGCAGAAACTCTCTGTTCCCCTGCAGAAACTCTCTGTTCTCCTGCAGAAACTCTCTGTCCTCCTGCAGAAACTCTCTGTTCTCCTGCAGAAACTCTCTGTTCTCCTGCAGGAACTCTCTGTCCTCCTGCAGAAACTCTCTGTTCTTCTGTAGAAATGCTCTCTTCAGTCCAAGACTAGAAAAAGCGGTCTGATATCCTTTCTGGGTTCATTATCTCTAAGCCAATCAGGTCACAATTCCACAGCCCACCAAGGTCAGAAGAGCCTGGGTCAGATTCAATAACAAATTCTTAGGATTATCTTGGGATTCTTTGCGGTGTCTTTGTCACTGAGGGCCCCAGGCTGCCAGAGGAGTGCCCCTGAGGGATTATTTGTGGGGCAGCCAGTAAAGGCCCCCAAACTCTCAGTGGCCTTCCCCTCAGAAAGGGTCTGTTTCATTGGCCCAAACAAGTCACCTGAGCATGTCTGACTTGGGGATAGAAGGGAAGGGCCACAGATCTTTTTTTTTCCTTTCAAATAAAATTTATATATTAAGACATTGCTGCTAATTTTAAGCATGGATCCCAGAAGTCATTATCCATATATCATCACACACTGGGAGATTTCTGGGAAGATGGACTGAGGTGTGCTCGACTGGATTTCAGGAAAACATCTTTAGAAATCTGAGTAATGGTGCAACCTATACAGCAGGGCCTTGCCTTGCTCATTCTCCTCTGGGAGAAAAATCCACGGTTTGAACACGAGAAAGAGCACTCCTTTTAAAAACCGGAAAGTTAGGAAATGCTGTACAGGAAGGAAGATGAGCCAATCTGACAGCTTCTTTCATTTTTCTTGAAGATTTCTGTAGTGGGATTGAAGGTCAAGGAAGTGACACCCGTGACCAGGTTCATTATGGCCTTTATTGGCTTTGGGTTGGTTTGTTGGAGGCAAGAATCTTGACTGTCTGTTTTCCACTCTGCTCTTAGAGCCACAAGCCACATACAGCCCATTCTCTGATGCAGCAATGCTTACTCCATATAAACTGCCTTCGTCAAGGAATCTGTTGACGCACTTCCTCGAATTCACATCCCACACAAAAACGTATCCACTCCCAGAAGGAGTATATATCCTCTTACTATCAGAAGAGAGTGTGGATGCTGCAGTTCTTCCATTGATCTTCATGCTACCAATTAATTCTTTGTCTTCATTGACAGCAAATGAGAAAACCCGCAAGGCCGCTTCTGAGCAGGGAGGATCCATCTGGAGAGACTTCAAATCGCTTCACTATTCTCTCTTTCAAATCTCTCACTTGATGTACAGGAACTAACTTTCCAGCTCACATATCATCGACATAAAGAACCTTGCTGTGCACACTTGTGGCTAAAAGCTCGTCTCCATTAGCACTGAAACAAGCCTTAAAGACTGGAAACTTTCCCAAATAGATGCTCTGGATTTTCGGGTTTGCTTTGCCATCTCCCTAAAATAGTGAGATAGCATTATCTACCCCAGAGAGCATCACCACCTGTGCACCAGGATGGAGCAGTACTGATGAGATCCGAGCAGTGGTAGGCTGTTCAGCACTGGCAGGACGGCAGTTCGTCCTCTAGGAAGAGAAGTGGATGCGGATATGAAATTCCCAGTCCTTTGCAACAAATCTTCATCCTCTTCACTTTCATCATCTGCAGATTTTCTCTGCTTGTGCCCAGACGCTGCCCAATCAGGTACTCCTCCCATGGCATGCTGGAATGCCTCTTTAAGTCTCTCTTGAAGCTTTTCTTTTGAGTTTACTTTCGCTGGCATTTTTCATTATATCTTTCCGAAACCAGCTGCTCATCATGTCAACTATTTCCTCATCTTCATCATCTTCATCCACCCAAACTGGCTTCTTCTGAGGAGGAAGATTATCTTTTGCTTCTTCTTCCACTTCAGAGTCATCCGAGATTCCTTGTCGTTGACTCCGCGAACTCCGCAGTCGCAGCCGCCGCCGCAGCAGCGTCCTCCTCTTTGTCCCTGGGGTCGCCTAAGACCAGCTGCTACAGACACTGCTGGGCTGACGGCTTGTCGTCCTAGAGCACCAGGGGGTTCCGCTGCCAAAGCCGGCTCCTCCTCCGCCGCCGCAGCGGAGACCACGCTGTGGGCCGCCTTCTGCCCAGCCTGCTGTGGCCGTTGAGATGAACGGCGGCTTTTGGGGGTCGTGCCGCCGCTCCCGGGTTTGGCTTGCCTCCCTGGCATCTTACCGGCTCTCCGTTCTGATTTTGTCCGTTCCAGCGTTCTGAGGACATCACCAGGTCTGAGGGGAAATGCAGACGTTGACAAGGCACACCACTGCGCAGGTCAGGGCCACGGGGCTTACCAGCATGGAGTGTATCAGAGTTCAGGCTCCTGCTTCTTGGAGAAATTCATCTGAAGTCAGACTTCTATCAGTGAGCTCAGGCTCCACACAGTTTCCCAGCAAGCTAGGGAACTTCCTCCCTCCTTTCTCATGAGTTATCCTTTGGCATCAGTTCTGTGTGAGCCGTTTGTAAGTGCTATAGGTAAGGAAGAGGTGTTTTGAAGGCTTGGCCTTCAAGATTCACATACAGATCAATCTCCCAGGAAGCCTCTCTTGATTGCTCCAGCCCACATCAAATGTTGTTTTTGTTTTCCTCCCTCAGACCAGACCTTTACAACAGTGTTGTAGCCCAGGCTACACCTGAGTGCTGGGATCACAGATGTTTGCTACCAACCCCCCTAGCTTGTTCTGAATTCTCTTACTATCTTAGATGTAAATGTCCTACGTAGGACACAGAGTGGTCCTACAGCATTCCTGAACGTGTCTTAACTGTTAGGGATGTGGCTCGGATGTGGTCATTTTTATAACTATCCCATGACCTGAAAAAACTTTTCAAAATACTAGACACAGAAACACTTCACCCTTTTAAGTATCTAAAGCTTCTCAGACTTATAATTGTTTTTATGTAGATCAGTTTAAGGAAAATACTGTTTTCCTTGTATGGTAGGAACAATTTTTAAGGGAGCAAAGATGTTCAGGCATGCTCCATATGACTGAAGCTGGGAGGGACACTGACTGGGATAACAGGAGGGCTGGAAACTTGGGAAAGATTTTAGTTTTCTCAGAATACATTTATATATCTAATTTCGCTAGAGCTGAGCTTGAATTGAGAGTAAAATTTCTTCTTTCCCTAGTAATAGAGTAGCAGCTCTGTAGCCATTTCTGTCACCTGATTGCTTTCCATGCTAATCTGCAAAACCCCCTACTTGGGATGGTCAGAAAGCATACCTTCTTTGGTGGGTCACTGGTCAGAGGCGGGCTGGTGTCCTGTGCGGCCATCAGAAATGAACCCACAAACTGGCAGTGATCTTCTTCATGGCCCCTCTGAGCTCCTATGTTGTAAAACTTTCCTGAAGGACCAGAAATGAAACAATGTCCTTTTCTGTGGTGTATGGCAATTCCATAATTAATTATTTCAAAGAATTTTGCTTTGCTTTCCC